GGTTTGAGCTTATGAGCAAATCATAGTGTCTGGGCCCATTAGTGATCGTTTCTACTGTGCTAGGGAACAGTTTAAAGATAACTGTTAAGTGAAAAAACATCACCCCATAGTGTGTAGTATGATTCCATTTGTGTTTTTAAAAACTAAGTGCAGTGAGAGACAGGTTGAGGGAGAGACAGAGACAGAGAGACTGAGAGAATGAGAGACAGAGACACCGAGAGAATGAGAGAGAGGGAGAAAGAGAGACAGAAAGGTTGAGATTTGAAGGAAATGCAGAGCAAAGGCCGGTTACTATTAATAAGGAAGAGAAGCGGGATGAGAGAGCGAAAGGAAGGACCTTTGATAATCTGAATTTTTGTGCATTTTTAAACTATTTTAACAGTGAGTTTTATTGATGCATGCTTTTGTTACTGTAATTTTTGAAAAGATGCTTACACATCTTCTTGGCTGCCACTAGGTGGTACTAGTGGAAGGACACATTGGCCAGCATTTAAGCTTCCCGTGTTCACCCGTAACACCTGCACGTGGGTGTAACTTCCTACCTTTAAAGGGTGAAACAAATTAATTCACCAATTATTATTAGCATGTGTTCCCAGAGCTTAGGGCTCAAGGCCCCCAGACTACTCTTTTATTCCCCTTTGGATATGAGATATAGTTTTTCTATCTAATTTGTATTAAAATATTTTCAAGTAAAAAACACGTTTTTTCCACATCAGTCTAAGTTGTACACAGTTTGGTTCACATATATTCAGAATAATCTCAAGATCTCCATTTTACAATAATATTCCCAAACCAAATCTTCATCAGATGCATAAAAATAATTGAACTCTTCTCTGTGACAGCACTGTTCACCCAAGGGTGCCTAATTCCAAGACCAGGCCTTTTTTTTCCATCCACTTACCCTAAATTCTCTTGGTCAGTCAACTTCTTCCATCTCCGCAACTGGTGTGGGCAGGAGACAGAAATGTTACCACTTATCCCCTCCCCACAACCCCTGACAATGCAGCATTTGTGATTTCTTTCTGGAGGCTTTTTCCCTTTTAAGCAGGGCTTATCTCCTCTCACATCAAGGAGTGGTCTGAACTGGCTAATGTTGTGTCCTGCGGTCTAAAACAATGTTTCATTCCAAACCAAGTACCTGAGGTTCCCAAGCCCGGAGTTAACATAGCCTAGAGGATGCCATGAAAACACTCATGTGCTCTCTTCAGAACACCGATGAGGCCAGCCTGGCACACACACAGCCACTCAGTCCCAAAGGGTGCAAAGCCAAGAGGTGTCTGGAGCGGCTCTGGCTCGGCTAAGGCATGCTCCTCGTGGTAATCTCCACTGGACATGGCATGATTTTTCACTTTCTTACCCCCCGCCCCCCACCCTTCCAGTAGGGGCAGTGTGCTGAGTTAGCCTTTGGATCAAACCCAAGAAAAAACTGACCAAGTTTACAGAGTTCTACTTGACACTCCCTGCATGGCCAGTTGAAATACCAGAGGAGAGAGTCCGGAACATTCCATGCCAAGGGCATTAGATATTAAATGGATATCTGCCACTATCCATCATTAATGATAAAGACTACTATTTATTTGCGCTCTTGCTATTTGCCAAGCCCCGTGCTAAATACTTCATATATTTTATCTTATTTGATTTCCTCAACCACCCTGTAAAGGAGCATTATTGCACCCATTTTACAGATATGAAAACAGAGACTTGGAAATGTTCAAGTGACAGGCTCAGGTTTATCTATTTTCAAAGCTTGTCTTCTTAATCCCTATCCTATTCTGAAGATAGCTAAGGGCTCTGATTGTTCAGAGATCCATTTACACCCCATTTAATAGATTACTGAGGACCTCGACTGCTCCCCCTTACCCCTTAGTTCATATCCTTTCCAAAGGGGTAAGAAAAGTTCAAGGCAAGAAAGTGAACGTAAATTATCCATTGCTTTGCACTGACATTTAGAATTATACATTTTTTTAAAGACAAGAACTATGCTTTCCAGTTACTTTTCCGTCCCCTCAGCACCTCCCATGATGTTCCACCCATGACGGTTTCTCAGCATGTGTTGCTTCAGTGACTGGCTGGCCTCTTGCTCACATTTAGGGCCAAGAAGATTAGTGACGGAATAGAACTCAAGGTTTGTGATTTTCTGTGGGTCAAGATTATTTTTACCATCTGTTTCCCCTTTCCATGAATCCTTGCAAATCAAATATAAATTGGTTTCCAAATTGAAATATTTCTTCTAATTTTTTTCGATGAGTCTAATTTTATTATTTTAAGAAAAACTAATCAAGCACGGTTAGTTGAAAGTATAAACAAGAATAACTCCATCACAACCTTCCCTTCTCCAGAACTCAGAGCTGGAGCTTGTTTTCACGATCTAATTAGGCAGGGACTTCTGTGACTTAATTTAAAAGCCTGAATTATAATCACCTTGCTTTTTTTTCAAAACAGTTTTCTTCTCTGCTACCTCTGGATGAACCTGGCTCTGCTTCTCCAAATTCAACGATGTCAGGTCAGCAGGGAGCAAATTCGAGACTGTACAATTCCCATCAGATATTAGCTGGGGAGATCTTTTCATCCCCCAGGTTTAAGTTCAATTCTAAAGGGGATGTTTTCTTCTCAACAGATGTGGTTATCTCTCATTAACAGTAACGGGTGTTTCGCGTGAACGCGCACAAGACTCTATACCCCTAAGATTTTCCCAAGCATCAATTTCACGAGGCCAAAGTAAACACATTTTTGCTTTTTGGCTCCACCCTCCTCTGCGTTTGCATAAATGTTGATACCTGAATAAGACTCTAAGTTATGAAAGGCCAACACGTGGTTTCTGCATATGTCAACCAAAGGACGTGGCTTTAAAAACGGGTTCCTGTCTTCTCTGTTTAATTCTTGGCCTGTCAAGCCATTGTAACCATATGAGGGAGGCAAGGAGACATTTCTGAATGGTTTTTTTCTGCCCAGATGTCATGCTGTGCCAGTGAACGAGATATGCCCAGGACTGCATTAATGTCCTATTCTGAAATGTTTGTCTCCTGGTCTACCTCCAGTTGATTCAATCAGTATTGGATACTCTTGAAATCACGAAGTGAAAAACAGGCATGAAAAAAGAGCGACTAAAATATGAATAACAAACTGTTCAAGGCGAGACAGCCAGTCATAAGGGCTGGCTCCACTCGCCTGAGAGGTGTGTTGCCAACACCAAATAAGCCGAAATAAGAGGCAGCCTTGTTTGTATAGTACTTAGTAGGCCCCAGAGGGAAAAGGGACAGCTCAATGAAACAATCTTGCCTAATTTTTTTCTTAGCTTCTTCACTCTATTTCATGTAAGTCATGATTCAGAAAGGTCTCTAAAACGTGATGGCTTTAAGAACACTAGTCTGCCACGGCTCTTAAAATGTGTGTTAACAGCTTTTAATCTTGTTGTATATATAGTTATCAATAGCAGCAGTGGCACTTAGCATGTATTTCAACTCAGTAATTTCTGCATATGAAGAGTTTAATAAAAAAGAATGAGAAATGATATGGTTGAGAGTAAGATGAAGACTCTTTCATTTCCCCTGAAATTATTTTTAAGAACATAAACAACTTACCTCCTTCTTTGCCGGTCTTAACCTATAAAACACAAAAAGTCAAGTTGTGGTTATCTTTCATGACTGTTGGCCTCAATTTCTGTCTCAGGAGACAATATAAAGCGGTTCAACTGGTTTTGTCTTGTTTGAGAAACTAAAATTAAAATCTCAGGAGTTATTTATTTTAACCCAGAAACAGGAAAGAAGGAGGTCCATCAGAAAAAGTCATAAAGACAGTTTTCCAAATGCGTAGACCTTTTTAATTTAGTAACAATCTAAAAAAAAAAAAGGTTTTTTTTTTAAAGACTTTCTAAATGTGTTTTTTTAAATATCTTTCTCTAGTTGCAACTGGACACTTTAGGTTTTATTCTCATCTTCCAGCTACTGGCATGACATAATCTACTCTAGGGAATGACTGCCTAAATTACTAGATCCTTAAATATTCTAGTGGAAAACATTTGCAAGGCTCATTCTCAAAAGCACACTGCAGTGCCGCGAAGTTGACACCTATCTCATAAGACCAAATTCAATTCTATTTTTCTATATTATAGCCAACAATTTCAAGGTGTTATTTTAAACATCACAATTCCAAAAGCATGACAGAAAAGAGTTCCATGGATGCTATATAAGCCAATTTTGCAGTGTGTTTTGGGAAAAAAACTACCCAGTAATTGTGAATTCTGTTTTTCATACTACCCAATAGTGATAGTCAAGCAGCCTCTAGCATTTATTCTTGGCTAGGATAAGTGACTTTTTAGGAAATAAAATTTGGACAAATGTATGTTATGCTGGCTCTTGACACATTCATTCTCTCTCTGTTTTTTAAAAATCATAAATCAGACCCCAGCTGTCAAATTTTCAGCTTTTGAAGAAGAAATAGCACTACGTGTTTACTTACCAAAGTTAACTGAGTTGAAGTCATCACAGCTAATTCTGGCTCATTCCTGGGATTCTTCTAATTACAAATTACTTGCTTAAATGAGTAAATGTGCTATATTAACTGAATGCTTGAATGAGTAAAGTTGTTTATACATTGTGTTACCCATTATACAACATTCTATACTAGGCACTGGTCAGTCTATAACTGGGAGGGGTATTGTGTTTCAGCCAATGTCTTTACTGAGTGCCCGCTACACATTAAATGGTTAAGACAGAGGAGATTACAAAATATTCTCTGGATTACTTCACAAATTACAGTTGTTGAGACAAAAATGTAAAAGTAAAACTACAATAAACAAGAGAATCACTTATCTGATAAGGAGAAAATTTAATCCACTTACAGGAACAATTTGAAGCTTACTCAGTAAATTTAGATCTCAGAGATTGAGGTGTTAGCATTACCAACAAATCATTTGTGATTGCAGGTCCTGGAAACAAATAGCTAACATTTTTGAGAGTCTCAGTAGGGCACACAAACCACTCCCCCACAATCTATGAATCTAAAAAGAAGCAGAAATATTTTTATACGTGAGGAATGAGTCTCTTCATAACTTGTAAACACAGAGGGCTCCGATTCCACCCTGCTAGGTTCCCTGGTCTAGCTCAGCAACTTCTCCCACACATCCCCAGCGTCAGTTTCTTGGTCTTCTGGAATCTTCGTCTCCCTGCCTGGTAAAAGGGGAGGAGAAGTAATCATGCTTTCACCACAGGGGTGTTGGTAAAAATTAATTAGTATTTATAATGTGCTACATTAAGGTCCTTAGGCGATTCATGACTTAGAACTTACATGGCACTCGATCGTTCCTTAAAGTTTTTAAAACAGTCCTTGTTTTCCAACTCAGGCGAAAAAAAAAACCACACACAATCTTTACACTTCAAACAGTAGAATTAAGCGTAGGAACATTTTGGCTTTCCTAGGAACACTTATTTTCCTGAGGTGAAAATATTAGCACATTACAAAAGCGTATTTCCTCAGCATTTGATTCTGAATTGAGCAGTTTTCATTTATAGTTGATAAAAGCCAAACGAAGAAGGTTTTAGAAAAGCCATTTTAAAAGCTTATTCTGCCATCTTTGGTGGTGTTTTCAACTAGTCCCCATTGAAGGGAAATTGGTTCATCTATTTTACAATTATTTAATTCCGGCACTTAAAAGAAACCCAAGAGGTCATTTGGTCGATGTCTCCTGCCTGCAGTAACAGTATTGAGCACCTACTCAGAAAACCAACATTCTCAAATTATAAGTGCAGAAACTGGGGCTCAGTGAGCTCAAGTAACAAAGCAGGGACCTAACCCACACCATTGGACTCCACAGTCCATTCTCTTCCCACCACCTCAGACAGACACCTCCAAGAAGTAGTACCTGAAGCTGACCTGCCCAGCACAGCAAGCCCTTTCTTCTCCTCTTTGTCCCTATCCTCTCTCTGAGCTTAAAAATTAAACTAAAATATTCTAATAGAACTTCTGTCCTAGCTCCAGAGAGCTCAGGAGCACCTTCAAATGATACTTCAGTTATTTTGAAGGATAGGTAGTTTAAAATCACTTTAAAAAGACACATTTTATTGAAGAAACAAAACCTATGTATATCCTTTTTTGAGAATTGACTTACTTCATTCAGTCTTAGCAATTTTTTATATCAAGTTAAAATGCATATTATATTATCAGAACCTTTTAAACTTTGTACTGAAGTATAATGTACATACAGAAATTAAGTATACTTATTTTTTGAAATGTGAAAATCGATCCCATCTTCATCTTGTAATAAGATAAGATGTCATTTCACATCTCAGAGAAAGGTACTATATGAAATAATGAACTCTAAAAAGGTATAAATTAGCTCTTAGCACATCTAAGAATGCTTTGAAAGGTTAAGCTCATTATTTAAATTAAGGTATGATTGGTACAGTATTTTTATCATTGTTGTTATCTTTTTTTTTTTAAGGATTGGCACCTGTGCTAACAACCATTGCCAAACTTTTTTTTTTTTTTTTCTGCTTTATTTCCCAACCCCCCCCCCCCCCCCCACCACCCCGGTACATAGTTGTATATCTTAGCTGCAGGTCCTTCTAGTTGTGGGATGTGGGACGCCCCCTCAGCGTGGCCTGACGAGCGGTGCCATGTCCGCACCCAGGATCGGAACCCTGGGCCACCGCAGCGGAACGCGTGAACGTGTGAACTTAACCACTCGGTCACGGAGCCGGCCCCATTATCATTTTAAATAATGGTATTTTCTTATGCCTTTGGGGAGCAGGCAAGTAAGATAAAAATAAGAAAAAATTTATAGGTGTCTCTGCACGCTATCACTATCTTTAAACAGTGATTGATAACCTATACCATGAATGACTATGTATAAGTTTTGTTCATACAGTTTACCTCCACGTAAACTGCACAAATCATCTTAATTGCCTATTACTGAAAAAATATGGCCTGAAAGTCAGAAGTACCTAAGAATTTGAATGGCAATTGAGAGAGATCATTCTTAAGTTGATATCCATCTTTGTCCTTTCATTTTGATTCATGTTCCTCTGTTTAACATTTACTGACAATTAAATGGATGGAGAAACCTTATCAAAATCACACCCCTGTTCTAAGCTGGTAAATATCAGACCCCCAACTGCAGAGGTTCTATGATGCTTGTGGTCTGGGAACACACATTTATTGAAAAATTACCAACAAGCATAGTCTTTTACTGTAGTTGATTGAACCCTTCTTACCTCTAGACAGTGAGTCAAATCAGGCCTACCTTTAACTTAGGGAGAAGGATATAGGCCATCAAATATCCTGCTCTATACTAAGGCTCAAATTAAACAAAAACGAAATAGCTACTCTGCACGCACCATGAAAGACTGACTTTGGTTTAATCCCTATTCTCAGTGTCTATTGTGGCAGGTACAAGAGCTGAACGGCCCTCTGGGTACCACGTCTCAGCTGTACAACTCCCTCCTGGTCATGGGGCTCTGGCACTAGTAATGGAAAACACCCTGGGAAGGTTCCCTGAGGAGCTGAATTCAGCTTTTGTCTGCCTGATGAAAAACATAATTCTTCTCCAATAATTCCCTTAGGGTTTTCCCTAGGGAGTACCATACAATGCTGAACTGACCCAACTTGAAGAACAAGTCAGCTGCATGAGACAGAAAACAATGTCGCACAAACTTACCAACTGAAACCTTAGTAATTTGAGTTTAATTTGCTGTCAGAAGTTTATTAATTATACTCTTATGGAACTGGAATCTGGCTGTAAGATTTCAAGGTAAAAAATCATATTTTTAGAGAGTATTTAATATAAACACAGGTATTAAAAAGATCATAAAAACTTTCTCGTTTAAGACCTTTGTTGAGAGTAACTTACTTATGAAATTTATTATAGTCCAATATAATGACCCATTTAAATCATTTTATTTTCTAACTGTTTTTCTTTAGAGTTGAAATTTTTATAGTTCTAGATCCCCAAAATTTTTATTTATGTGGAATATTTTTAAAGGTCTTCATTTTATAAACATTATAAGGTCCCAGGACTTAAGCAAAAAAATAAAATAAAATAAACAACCAATAAAAGAAGTTATAGAATGAGGGCTGGAGAGGAGTTAGAACTGGTCCGTTGGTCATATCATACATTTCTCCTGCCAAATCAGAGGAATTCTAGGTCAGAAGATAAAAAGCTATTCCAATTTCTCTAAAAGGCATACTGATACTTTCTGCCATGGTAAGAAAGTGTTTTCAGGTATCTAAAATTAATGATAGAGAATGAGCAGTCATTATCTACAAAGAAACATTGTATTTTTGGTATAATAAAACAAAAATTCATAAAGCAACTAAAAATAAGTACACAGAAAGTCTGTATAAATCTATTTCAGAGATGAAGTCTCTTGACTAATTCAAAAAGTATTGGTCTTTCCTCCCCTTCAAACACTTACCTGATTTCCTTTACTTATCTAGTTACATAACTGATTCTGTGACTTGTAAACAAACAGCCCCATGGCTCGACAGTTCTGGATCTGTGGGTTTGTACTGCTGTTTCTCTGTGGAGGTTGAGAGCTGCATAATGATTTATTCTTTCCCCGCCCCTGCCTTCTTTTCCTGTTTTGCTCCCTCTTTTTTTTGTCAAAGTAGGTTAAAAAAGAAAAATCCAAGAGAACTAAATGTGAAGACAAATCCTGGTGCTATAGGATGAGGCCACCAATTTAAACACCCTGGCCACAAGAAATGCACAATATGAGGGTCTCATACTCAGTCGAGTTCTCCATAGGGAGACTCCTATTATGTAGCATTTTTCAACATCCCCTGGACTCCTAACCATATGCTTTTGTATAAGGCAGCTTTGATTCCCATGATTTCCCACGCGTGAAACTCACAGCTTCAAAGAGAACTCTGCATGCAAAAGATACATGGGGGTGTAGTTCGGGAGGAGAATGGGGCTAGTAGGCAGAATGTGGGTGAGTTAACATTCCAGTCTGCGCTTTAATTCCAGTGCTACCTGTCACTGGTGTGCCCCAGATATAACAGTGACTGCTGGCAAATTAGAAGCTTTCTATTTTGGTGATTAGACCTAATCAATTACCTGGAATTATAACACACCTGATTCCATCATAGGGAAGTAGATTCCAGAATTGGTTGTTAGGTGGATTTGATTTATTTTTGATGGTGTAGATTAAGTACAATTTATACTATGGCATGGCATGTCATGCACTTACTGGCACTTTGTGTTGCTCAAAAATTCTTCAGGAAACATTTTCATTATGTAATAATTTAATCCAGATGAAGTAAATGTGAATAAATTAAGCATTTTGGGTTTTTCAAAATCTAGAAAATTATGTGGTCTTATGTGAAGAAAGATGACAGAGCCTTTAAATACCTTCAACGGTTACATGAAATTTTAACTAATTCTCCTTTTGTTTGCTATTTTAGGAGACTTTTATTTTTAAATATTTTTAAAATTGTTTTTTCTCCTATTTATCACCGATTCTTCTTTCAGTCTGGGTGTTGTAAAGTATTTCTATGCCAAAGAATGTCTTGGAACATTAGAGTCTAATGTACTGGTGGCCGTTCTTCTTTAAAGAAATCCCTGAAAGTATTTTATTAACTACATCAGGGCAGAACTAAGGACCATTTTAAACTACAAAAGGCTTCTTTGAATGCTGTCTTTGGAGGTTCGGTCTTATTCCAAGGAGTGTAAGTAATCTGTGATTAAGGGATATTTGATGACCTCTTTATAAGAAGTTTACCCTATTCCCCTTAAAAAATCATTTTGTCCTGGGAACTTTTTAATATTAGGATATTCCTTAGCTTTATATTTGTTTGTTTGTTTGTTTGTTTTTTGAGGAAGATTAGCACTCAGCTAACATCTGCCGCCAATCCTCCTCTTTTTGCTGAGGAAGAGTGGCCCTGAAGTAACATCCGTGCCCATCTTCCTCTATTTTATGTGAGATGCCTGCCACAGCATGGCTTGACAAGTGATGTATAGGTCCACACCCAGGACCTGAACCGGCGAACCCCGGGGCATGGAAGCAGAACATGTGAATGTAACTGCTGTGCCAGCGGGCAGGCCCAACTCTTAGCTTTATTTTTTAAATTAATTTTCACATGTATGTCGTGAATAAGAAGGCCCTATTCTCTCTGAACTTGATCCATATGACCTAGGTTGAAGTGAAAGTGGCAGGCCCCAGTTTTGCAGCTAGCAGACTAAAATGAAAATCTGAAGTGAAATACTTGCTGACTCCAAGAAATTAGGAGGAGCCTCTGTGTTCCCCTCAGAAGCTGCCAGTTGCAGGAGCTTGCCTGGTTTTGCTCTGAGGTTTCTCAAGGTCTGTTAGAAACCATAGCAGCATAGACCTTTAGAGCTGGAAGGGATGGTGCTTAGCTTTCATCTTTTCTAAAGCCCTCTTGTTAGACAGGAGAAAATGCACCCCAGACAGAGACTGCGATCTTGAAAGGTACATTTCCTATTTTTATTCCTTTTTAAAAAGCCATTTTTTTTATTGAGTTAATGATAGGTTACAATCTTGTGAAATTTCAGTTGTACATTAATGTTTGTCAGTCATGTTGTAGGTGCACCACTTCACCCTTTGTGCCCACCCCCCACCCCACCTTTCCCCTGGTATCCACTAAACTGTTCTTAGTCCACATTTTTAAATTCCTCATATGAGTGGAGTCATACACAGATTATCTTTCTCTCGCTGGCTTATTTCACTTAACATAATTCTCTCAAGGTCCATCCATGTTATTGCAAATGGAATGATTTTGTTCTGTTTTGCAGCTGAGTAGTGTTCCATTGTATATATGTACTGCATCTTCTTTATCTATTCGTCTGTTGATGGGCACTTAGGTTGCTTCCATGTCTTGGTAAAAAGCCATTTTTAATTCAAGTTTTATACCCTTCCGATGGACAGGGACACCAACATGTGTTGAGACTGCTCTGTCCATGTGCTGCAAGAATTCGAGGGAAGCACTAGTTTGCTCCTCTGGAAGGACTGAGAAAATGCAGAGCGAAACACTGGACAAAGCTTAAGGAGCTGGATCTGACTCACGATTTTAGTGTAATAGTGTAACCTATTATCTCATTTACTGCATATAATCCCAAACTCCAACTACAAAATATAATAACAAAACTATTATGGAGGACTACATGTTCAAGCTATGGAACCATAGTTGGGTTTAAAAACAAAAAGATAGTTTAAACATTCACTTTCTTACTCGACATATCTGCTTCCTGTGTATCTTGGAAACACATTTATTTACTGTACAAACAAAGCTGTAACTTTTTTAAAGTTTCCTGTTACTTCTTATTATCTAGTGAGTTGAAACACTAATTGAGGAAATGGTGGAGAAGATTATATTTCTGTTTCTACATCATAGCCCAATGTATTACAAGTGAGAAAAAGTTGTTGAGTCTGTGGTCATGAATGGCCCCAAACGTCTGCATTTGACTGTTTTTACAAAGTCAGAAAAATGGGACCATTGTTTTTCCTCTTATCTCAACTTCTGGGCTTGCCGTCTCACAGACTAATGGTCCATGTCATCGGGAGCTTCAGTGTGGCCTTCTGGGACTGTGCTTATGGAGGGAATTGGCTTTTATTTAAACATGCTCTTTAGGCTTTGGGTTAGGGGCCTGAAACTATCGTTACCAGAGCTCTTCAAAGTCTAATGTGTTACATGAACACAAGAGTTGGTGAGGGAAACAGTTTCAAAACAGCATGATCCTATCTTTATTTTAAAAAGAATATGAAATACATAAGGGATAATGCATGTGTACCTGCACCTCGCCCCCCCAGCAGTTATGCACACAAACAGCCGTATAATATAGTGGTGAAAGCTTGAGTTTTGGAGTTATGCAGTCCTGGGTTCTACTTCCAACCCCAGCACTTAATTTCCTCTCTTCTTAGACCCACAAAATGATTTTCAGTCAATTGAGAAGACTTAAAAATATGGTACATGCTTTGAAGTGCTTAAAATTGTGTCTTTATAAACTACTCTCCCATGCTCTTTCAGTGTCCCTTGTTATTCTTCAGGCTCTGCTAGCCAGCCAACCTCAGATTCCTCAATGCTTTTCCACCAACGCTGGATCCTGGAGCACTCTATTGGGGTTCAAAGTTCTTAAACTCAGTGTTCATTGTGCCTAATCCCTCCACCCACCATTGTCTAAACATCCTGCAGCCCCTGCCCATCCAATGCCTATTGACTGTCACAGAATATGCACATCTCAACCAGTAGTTGATTTGAGTCTTCTAAGACTCCTCTCTTGATCTCAATCTCATAAGTCCTTACTTCTAAACACACACCTTTTGAACAACAGGATCTCTTTGTCTTGGGCCTCCAAAGACCAGTTTAAAATCACAGAACATATTGAATTCACTGAAGAAAACTTATTCACCAAATATTTCATCCTTACTCAAAAATATACAATTTTATTTTTCAAAGATTTTATTTTTCCTTTTTCTCCCCAAAGCCCCCAGGTACATAGTTGTGTATTTTTAGTTGTGGGTCCTTCTAGTTGTGGCATGTGGGATGCCGCCTCAGCATGGCCTGATGAGCGGTGCCATGTCCACGCCCAGGATTCGAACCATCAAAACCTCAGCGGCCAAAGCTGAGCTTTTGAATTCAACCACTCGGCCACAGGGCCGGCACCTCAAAAATATACAACTTTTAATTAAAATATTTTCTTAGAAACACAATCGACTTCCTCATTCTGATAAAATGCATAAAGTGCATCTAGACTGTAATTTCTAGCTATGACCTTGAGAATTTTAGCACTAGTGCAATTTGCCAATTATGCAAAAACTAACAAGTTCTATTTCCAGTATTGAAAATTTTGTATATCTCATACATGTTTCTAAATTCTTTTCAGAAGAGTGAATTATTTTTAAAAGCATATTGGAGGCCGGCCCCGTGGCCAAGTGGTTAAGTTCACACGCTCTGCTTTGGTGGCCCAGGCTTTTGTGGCTTTGGATCCTGGGCATGTACGTGGCACCGCTCATCAGGCCATGCTGAGGCGGTGTCCCACATGCCACAACTAGAAGGACCCACAACTAAGATATACAACTATGTACTGGGGGGATTGGGGGAGAAAAAGCAGAAAAGAAAAAAAAAAGATTGGCAACAGTTGTTAGCTCAGGCACCAATCTTTAAAAAAAAAATAAAAGCATATTGATTAATTTTTAGTGATACAATCTTGATATGCAGGCATGGCTCATTTACTGAATATTCACAATCTATAACATTGTATTGTATATATTTATTTCCATAGGTACATTTCTTCACAATTTCTTTTTGGTTACTCTTATACGTCCTGGAAGATTAGCATTACAGAGAATACACTACTGAATCTTTTAAATTTGGTTCCAACAAGTTTGCCCTGAAAAAACAAATTTGAATGATAATTTTAATCATTACAAGGAAAACTGATATAACCAGTCAATTCTTTTTTTTTTTTAAGATATTTTTGATTTAGAATATGGTACAAAGAACCCATTCCAGCAGAAAAACAGAATGGGAATGAACTACCCAGAATGTATCTCTGGCTTGTAACTTTACTTAGTTATGATGTTACTTTTGTTAAAGCAAATTGTTTTGATGTCCTCATAAAACGCAGATGTCAAAGAACTACGTTGCAGCTACCTCTGTGTCCAAATAATAGCTGGTTTAACTTTCTATCAATCACCTTTACTTAAGATACCACAGAAAGAATGGACAAGGAGATATAAAATTTTGTGAAATTTTGTGAGTAGTGTATGTACTTGGTTAGAGAAAACCCATAAAGCAATGTGCATCACACAGAACGTTTTATAACTATATACATTGTATGGGCTATGTGTGCAATTGATACAGAATAACAAAATGATACACGCAGTTGATCCTAGATCATATGACATTTTCAGAAGATAACATCTTCAGCTATTTTTCAGTCTTTGAAGATTACATTTTTTAATTGCATGGGTATTTCCTTAGGTGTTCTTGATGCAGAATTTGCATACATTACAAACGGTCTCTGACTTATGATGGTTTGATTTATGATTTTTTTACTTTCTGGGGGTGTGAAAGCAAGAGGCATGCAGTAGAAACTGTACTTCGAACTTTGAATTGTGATCTTTTCCTGGGCTTGGGGAAAATCATCCTAACACATGATGGATGAGGGGATTATACCCTTCATATGTAAAAAGTTGTTATAAATCACTAAAAATCACAAATTTCTCCAAGG